AAGTCTTCTGTGACTTAATCACTAAGTTTGATCTTCCTTATTAACTTGGTTTGAATGCATTCCATGTTATGAATTAACTTAAGTGTATACTTGATATAATCATTGTTGTCATTTCTATTACTTTACTTTTCCGCAACTAACTCTCTAACTTATTAATATTATTGTTGAGCTTTTAGATCCTTCGAGATTAACTATTCCGCAATACTACTTGTTCTAACGTTTGTTCAAGTGTGTCTCTAAGTTTTTCTCTCAATAGGTGACTCATGGTTTTAGGGCTTGCCAATAAGACACATCCCTGTTCGTTCATTGTTCTACTACTTCTGTCATATATAGAATCTAGAGCTCTAAAAATGTGTCATGTTTCTTCTGTGGACCAGTTGGCTGATATATTTACTAAACCACTCCCAAATGATCGTCTTTCTCTTCTTCGTTCCAAGCTTCAAGTTCGACCCGTCCTCGAGCTTGCAGGGGGCTAACGTGTAAAATACTTCCGCTAGTATAGGAGTTCTATTGAACTAGTCTACCCTATATACCTAGTCTTATGTATGTGGTTAGCTAGTGTCGTGTATTTCTCATTCCCCTTTGTATTTATACCAATGTATTCTCTTGTATCGATACACAGTGAAATTCAATCTTTACAGTTGGTCACTCCAAAGTTGAAGCATGTGAGATTCTAGACAACAAAATTTGGAATGCTTAATTCTCAAGCAATAGACACTAACTCACCTTTGTCGTGGTACTTAAAAATGCTTATTAGTTGTACCAAAACTTAAATAATCAATCTCAAAAACACCCGAACTGTAATATATAATTAAAATACCAGGAAATGAAAAGAAAAAAAAAACATTTCTCTCCTACAAAATAAAAATAACATAGAAGGAATCAATCGCTTGAGGCATTTCCATACCTTCATAGTAAGCAAAATGATTGTTTCATTTTATCATAATTCTTTATTCTATTATAGTTTGATTACTACATATCCAACAATTTCACTGCCCAGGACTCCACATTAGTCAGAAGACAAACTTTCTGTAATTATTTTCTAGCATTCTCGACTTTTGCAAAGACGTCAAACAGATCGAGAGTGAATCATTGTCCCACAATTTTGGGTGGAAAAAAAAAAGTTTATGTCCTACTGACATAATCTGAATCTGAGTTCCATACCAAAACAATACAAACTATTATTACAAACTAGGCGTAGGTTGATGCAACTTACCCATTTTAACAACAAATGTTAATAAACACTCGGTAGGATAATATTTTTAGCAAATCAAATAAACAAGTAACATCCCATCTCCCCCAAAACTGTACACAGCTAAATCCCCCTACTACACACCCCCAACAATTTCCGTCTTCCATAACTTTTTTCTTACTTACATAATAACGATCAACACTCCCTCTACCGAAAA